CATACATTCTTCCTAGTGGTTAATTGCTGTACAAGATGCGGACATGATATCCTATTTACAAACACCATTAGAACAAATCCCTCTACTCATTAAGAGAACGTAACTATATATCTATCCTAACCACTTTGAATGCAGATACAACATGGACATTCATCTGTATCCCCTTTTTTTGTTCAAGTATCTTATGACACCAGCGAAACTGGAGTAGGGCCACACCGGCTGACTCAAGTTAACTTCACTCCCTCATCTCCAGACATGATCACAGTCAGAATGTGAAGTGTTCAGAAATACAGTCCAGCTGGGGAGATAGCTCAGTAGAATAAGCACTTGCCTGGCAAACACAAGGGCCCGAGTTCAATCCCTGGTACTACAAAGACAGAGACAGACAGACAGACAGACAGACAGACAGACAGACAGACAGACAGACAAACAATTCAGCCCACAACACTGAGATCAGTGTTTAATTTAATGGATCAGCTTTCCATTGCTATGACAAGAGATCATCAACTTAGGAGGATGAACGGCTTATTTTCATGAATGGTTTCCACCCTTGGTCACTTGGCCTTGCTACCTGGGGGACAAGGGGCACAGAACACCATGGCCGGAGCGCCTAACAGAGCAAAGCTGTCCACCTCATGGCCAGGGTAGCAGAGAGGAAGGGGCCAGGCTCCCATGTACCCTTCTCCAGGGATAGAACTACTTCATACTGGCTCCAGCTCTCAGAGGTTTTGTGCCTCCCAATCCCGCCACTGAGGACTGCGTGTGAAGATTTGGTTCATTTACTTTCAAAAAACACAGTTCTGGACTCTGCTAAAACTAATGCCCAATTCTTAGACTGAAGAAACTCAGAACCACATAATTCATTCACTTAACTACAACAGGGCCAGCTCCCACCACCGGCAATTGCACCTCGACAAGCACTGACCTCCCTGACACTGCTAATGAATTGAGTTAAATAGAAAATTGAGGGGAGAAAGCTCCAAAGTGGGTGTGTCCAGTGTGAGTCTTGCGAATCTCCACTGGGTGCTGGGAAAGACTTCATTCCTAAGTGTCACAAGGAGACTTTTAGAGGTGACACATCTGTTCATGAGCTTGATTATGGTGGTGTGCAAGCATGTGCAGCTTTTTTGTTATCGTTATGTATTTTGTATAGGCTTTCACTATGTGGGTCAGACTCATTGATCCTCCTGTTTCAGCCTCCCCAGTGCCGGGATTACAGGCCTGTGCCACTGGTCTCTGGCTGGCTCACCCCACCCTTGGGGCAGGGCTGGCACTGCCTGTGATGCCGGGGATCAAGCTGCAGTCTCTGCTCTGGCCTAAGCAGGCACTTTAGTCCAGTGAGCTATCTCGCCAGCCTGATTATGTGATCTTAAGCACACGCTCTCCTGAGCAGACCACCCAGCCACCACTTGCGCTGCTGCATTGCCAGACCTCTCCAGCAGGGGGCGACCTGCCTAGGAGTGGAAACTGATTCCAAGCTTGAGCTGAGCATGCGCAGTTCCTCCTCAAGGTCTGCGTCATCAGGGAATGACTGCGCTTCAGGGAAGAAAAAAATAGTTCTAGAAAACCTAGATAGTAAACATTTTAGGCTTTGTGGACGGTTTCTGACAGAATTTCTGGACTGTGCTATAAGAGTAGCTATGTACATAAGTCAGTGTGGATGTGCTCCAGCAGCACTTTATTTAATGGACACAAA